ATATATATGTATGTGTGTTTAAGGCTGGGTTCACACCTAGGCGTATCGAATATGCGCGTTTCAACCGCGATTCGCGGTAAAAAAACGCGCGACAAACGCGTGTTTCCGAGGGCTACTTGGCTGTATCCCAATGGAAACGCGCGACAAAAATGCCCCAAAGAAGCTCCTGTACTTGTTTGGGCGTAGGGCGTTTTGTAGCGCGTTCATACGGCCTGTAATATGCCCAGGTGCGAACCATACCCATAGGAAATAATGGGATTTCGGTGTTTGAGCGTTTTGCAGAGTGTTCGAACGCGCTACAAGACGCCCAGGTGGGAACCAGGCCTTATGGTTGCCATAGCTTTCTAACGTATTATAACTTTTGCTTACTAGTTTTATGTAATAATAAAGTCTGGAAAATATTTGTAATTCCTGCTACTATATCTTACAGAATTTGACCTGCTAGTTATGCACTAAATGTTGTTTATTTCAGGTAATATTCCTGCACGGCTTAGGAGATACTGGGTATGTATGGAACATGCATGTGTATCTATAAATGTGTCTCTCTCAATGGGCTGTGTGTGCATGGTCAAAGATATCAAAGAAAACCCTAAAGGGCATATTTATAAAGCTGTGAATCCGACATTCACGTCAGATGAATCTTCCAGGTGCATGTGTTTTTGTGACAGTGATTAATTCCCCACTAGTAAATGTTTGATGAAAGTCACATGTGCTGTTTTATAAATATGCCTTTATATGTCATCTTTTTAAGCTTTATATAATAAAATAAACAAAAACATATTTGCTAGTCTTGCTTGTCTGGTCCACATTATGATTCACATTCTCTGTAACCAGCGGATTGTAAGTCTCCTAGATTTAAAGAATACCTGAAGCCAAAACTTTTTTTTTTTTTCTAATTAGTTTTCGAAAATATGGAAGCTTTAAAGGTTTTATTTCTGTCCCAGCAAATGACTGGATGTCTACAATTTTATGATTGTCAGCGGAACGGGCAGCAAGGGGATATCTACCTATGATAACTTTTTTCTAGTAACTACTTCCCTCACATTTAAGCCATTTCCTATTCCTGTCTTGTCTTCAGGAAGTGTAGTGACATCTTCCCAGCAGGAAAAAAATGACAGGGGTTTTAACCATACCCTACTCATTGTTTGTCAGTCTCTGACGCGACTGAGACTTTCTATGAATCGCTGTGTGTAGCCATGGCTAGGGGCGACAGAGATGATTGATGTCACATGATTAGTATACCAGAAAGATCGCTGCATTATTTTACCATTTCATCTTCCAGGACAGTGAGTTCTGGTGAACCATCGTGGAGGATTCTAGGAAAAGTTTTTATTCTGGTAATAACGCAGGTTTTCCATTTCCTCCTGTGGGACGGATCACCAGAGCTGACCATCCTGCGGGATTGGGGGAAAGGGATTTATCAGGTAGTAACTTGGATTTTCCACTTCCTCCTTTGGGACGGATCACCAGAGCTGACCATCCTTCAGGATTGGGGGAAAGGGATTAATCGGCTAGTAACTTGGATTTTCCACTTCCTCCTTTGGGATGGATCGCCAGAGCTGACCATCCTTCAGGATTGGGGGAAAGGGATTAATCGGCTAGTAACTTGGATTTTCCACTTCCTCCTTTGGGACGGATCACCAGAGCTGACCATCCTTCAGGATTGGGGGAAAGAGATTTATCGGGTGGTAACTCGGATTTTCCACTTCCTCCTTTGGGACGGATCACCAGAGCTGACCATTCTGCAGGATTTGGGGAAAGGGATTTATCGGGCAATTATACTGTTTTTCTCGCTGGGAAAAATTGGAGCATGCTGCCCCCCTATAATTCCTTTCAATGATGGGATGAAGGCCTTTCCTACTAGGATTCAAGTGAACCTCGCAGCAAGATCTTGGAGGAACAAAGACAGGTAAATATAAGTTATGGCGGGGAGACATTGTAAAGGTACTTAAATTAGTCTGGGTTCACACCTAGGCGTATTGAATATGCGCGTTTGTCGCGCGTCTCGCGTTTTTACCGCGATTCACGGTAAAAAAAACGCGCAACAAACGCCCGTTTCCGAGGGCTACTTGGCTGTATCCCAATGGAAACGCGAGACCAAAACGCCCCAAAGAAGTACATGTACTTCTTTGGGCGTAGGCCGTTTTGTATCGCGTTCGGACGGGCGGAAATACGGCAAGGTGTGAACCAGACCCATTGAATACAATGGGATTTAGATGTTTGAGCGTTTTGTAGAGCGTTCGTCGAGCGTTGAACGCATTACAAAACGTTCAGGTGTGAACCAGGCCTTATGGTTATCTATTCAGGCTCTTACATGGGCTCATCATGCTAACAGTGTTTTGTTCCTGAGACTACAGTATTTGAATTCCTCACAATCTACATTATCTCTGTGTGCAAGTTAAAAGGAATTGCTCTAATTCTGTCAGACAAAGAGAGTTTTACACTTCTGACAGGATCCCAGGCATAAAATGGCAAGCATTGTAAGGCTGCCGTATGACCATAGCCTAAAATAATCCAATTATTTAACATGTGATTCTGTAAAATGTATTTTATTGGCCAATGAGGGGTGGAGGTGCCTTCAGCTTCACTGCCCCATTCAGAGCTACATATCAGTGGCTGACAGATCCATAAGCATCATACTTTCACTATACCTGCAGAGAAGTTGAATGTAAGGCAAGTGTACCATTTTAAGTGAGTATTCCAGCACACGTAATCACATGTTTGAACACCAGGTGCAGAGTGACATGCCTACCGTGCAGTCACATGAGAACTCCATTTCGGAAGCTTTTTTTTGTAAATGGACACTTTAGACAGGAGGCCTAAACACATTTTAGTTTTTCAATGTTTTTATTTAGTTTTGAAAAGGAAATGCAGCCATAGCATAATGCTACAGTATGAATTTGAATGTCGATGCTTGCACAACCGCAGTATGCTGTGAGGAGCAAGCTTTGAGAATATGGTCACCAAAGTCAGTGCTACACATATAGAGTTGCATTTCTATAGCAACCAATGTCTCTACATATACGGCTGAATATGGAGACTGGGAAAAAGATTTACTCACGATGGTTGTATCTGGATATTATTGGCACTATGGTCTGGGAGTGGTATGGGGTGGGGATCTGGGAGGAGACAGAGAAACTGGTGACTAAAAGGAGAGAATAGAAAGATCAGGAAGAAAAGTAGAATACATAGATGCCAGAAAAGCGAATGTAAAAAATGGGGTCTGCTTTGCCCAACTGCAATAATAAGGGATGCACTGATACTAGTATTTCGGTTATCAGTACCGATATTTTTGTTCGGTACTCGCCATTACCGAGTACCAGAAGTCCCATTCAGGAAGCCAGGCGGCGTGTAATGACTCGCCACCCGACTTCCTGATTAGCCAGGAAGCCAGGCGGCGTGTAATGACTCGCCACCCGACTTCCTGATTAGCCAGGAAGCCAGGCAGCGTGTAAAGACTCGCCACCCGGCTTCCCGATTAGCAGGGAAGCCATCCCCATGCTTCTTGTCACTAGGTGACGAAGGCATAGAGCCGGCTTTCTGACTAATCAGGAAGCCGGGCGCTTTGTAATGTGGCGCTCGGCTTCCTGATTGGCCGGGAAGCCGGCTCCATGTTCCCTCGTGATGAGGGAGCATGAAGCCAGTTTCCTGGCCAATGCCTAGCCCGATACTTCCGGTATCAGGAAGCCGGGCAACGCGTCATTACACACTGCCCGGCTTCCTGATTGGCCAGGAAGCCACAAGTGACGAGAGAGCATGGAGCCGACACTATGGTCTGGGAGTGGTATGGGGTGGGGATCTGGGAGGAGACAGAGAAACTGGTGACTAAAAGGAGAGAATAGAAAGATCAGGAAGAAAAGTAGAATACATAGATGCCAGAAAAGCGAATGTAAAAAATGGGGTCTGCTTTGCCCAACTGCAATAATAAGGGATGCACTGATACTAGTATTTCGGTTATCAGTACCGATATTTTTGTTCGGTACTCGCCATTACCGAGTACCAGAAGTCCCATTCAGGAAGCCAGGCGGCGTGTAATGACTCGCCACCCGACTTCCTGATTAGCCAGGAAGCCAGGCAGCGTGTAAAGACTCGCCACCCGGCTTCCCGATTAGCAGGGAAGCCATCCCCATGCTTCTTGTCACTAGGTGACGAAGGCATAGAGCCGGCTTTCTGACTAATCAGGAAGCCGGGCGCTTTGTAATGTGGCGCTCGGCTTCCTGATTGGCCGGGAAGCCGGCTCCATGTTCCCTCGTGATGAGGGAGCATGAAGCCAGTTTCCTGGCCAATGCCTAGCCCGATACTTCCGGTATCAGGAAGCCGGGCAACGCGTCATTACACACTGCCCGGCTTCCTGATTGGCCAGGAAGCCACAAGTGACGAGAGAGCATGGAGCCGGCTTCCTGGCCAATCGGGAAGCCAGGCAGTGTGTAATGACGCGCTTCCTGATACCGGAAGTATCAGGCTAGGCATCGGAGCATTTGGGCGAGTACAAGTATTTGCCCCCAATACTCGGCATAGGCACCGATACTACTATCGGTACATCCCTAGCAATAGTACAGAAATTAGAAATCTGGGAGGCAGCAAGAGCTACAAACTTGCTCCCCAGGGCAGACATCAACTCTGCACCCCATTATACATATTGAAAGCTATCTACATTCATCTCCATATGGCACAATCATATCCAATAATATTCAAGATGTCCCAATGTTTCAGTAAACTTTAAACCATTAAATTATCCATGAAAACGGTGTTGGTTGATTTCCAGCTAAAGTTAGCTGAGTGGGAAGGAGAATGTGGTGCATTTGTACTTGTGGTTTCACTGGAACTGCCAAAGGTTCTTGGGAATATCACTACACATTTTAGTTTCAACACTCATGAAGAAAGGGAGGCACCATAACGATAAGCACCAAAATCCAATCATCAAAGCTGCTTTCTTACGCTTTCCATAACAAATGTTTTCTCCTCTTGTACCCCCTAGGCATGGCTGGGCAGAAGCAATGGCAAGCATCAGAAGTCCTCATGTGAAGTACATATGTCCACATGCGTAAGTGTTGTATATTGCTTTAGATTTATCCACTTCTAATGCTTTAGCTTCATACATTTTCAGATTTCACATTACAAAATGCATAGGGTCTGTGCCTTTTGTATACCTCTGTGATTACAGCTACAGTAATGTTTATTTCTGCTGTAAATATGTTAATTGCCACACATGTTATGATGCAGGTCAGATACATGTTGAATAACTAGAGCTTTCTAATTCCAGGCCCATCATGCCGGTATCATTAAACATGAACATGGCTATGCCTTCATGGTAAGTAAACCTACATGGCAATAATCCTTTTTGCCCTACTGTTCTTAAATCTATCTATTTTTTTTAAATATAATATGCGTGTGTGCCCACATAGTGGCATTTTTTACAACTGATGAGATCAGATCATGGTTGGTGGGCTGGGCATACAAGGTGCTGACCATTGTTACGTAGGTTGAAAAAAGACACAGGTTCATCTAGTGCAAAATGTTTTTTTGTAATGCTAGATCCCCTTTCATCTTTCTATTGCTGTCTGTTTCCCTGTTGCAGTTTTTCCTCACTTCCTGTCTGATAAAAGTTTGTCCCCAGCACAGAAAGTGAGGAAAAATCTCTCGCAGTATAGTTGATCTGATCGCAGTAAAACCTGACAGGGGCTTTAACCTCTTCCCATTGTATCCAAAGCTAAAAAAAAATTTTGAGTATCTTGAGACTTTAGTCCAGGGTCAAGATTACAGTTGATATGGATTTCCAATAAAGACTATTGTACTGCTTTCCTCTTCAGAAGGAAAATACAATTGGACATTTGGACGTGTTTGAAATTGGTAGACCACCTTTTTCTTTTGACTGAGTGCTGTAACCCATGCACTGCCTGATAGTCTGAGCCTGCAGGTAAACTGACCACAGGGAACAATATGTATCGACGCCTTGTATTTGTCTCTGAGGGGAATCATGGGAAAGGTAGTAGGTAAAGCTCAGCAGGCTTCTTTGGCCACTTTCTGTCATCCTAGTTCAGTGTAAAACAAGTTCACATTTATTGCCCTTTTAATTGCAAATGTTTTACTGTGTGCAGAGGAACGGTTTTGCATCAGTGTATCTAAGCAAAAGATATGATTGTATTAGAGGAGTATCTGCCGCCCTTTACTAATGTCCTCTGAGGCTGCAATAGCAGTTTTTCCAGCACTATTACTAGGGATTGTTTCACTGTTTCTCTTCATGAAAGTAGGCCAAGTATTAGTGATCCTTTCTTTTGGCTAGCTTAGCAGGTGTTGCCATATGCCACTATATTAGATTGGCTGTTACTGTGCTGCCTCTCATAGATAACGCATCTGTCTGACAGAAAAATAAATACCATGTGCCATTAGACCTTTTGTCTTCCACAACCTGTATATTATTGTGCAATAGGAATTTCGGCAAGAAATGGTGTGTTTTAGTTGTCGTTTTAGTTTTGTGCCCTGCCCAAGCAATTATTTTTTAATCGCTTGATATAGCGTGCATCACTTTCTTTTTTTTTTTTTTTTTTTTTTGAAAAAGAGAC